AATCCTCACAACTGGACCAATGAGCATCATGATAAATGGACAAAAGACTGAATTTGTCAAGGATTTCATTTTACTTGGATCCAACACCCGTGAAAGCAGCCGTCAAGAAATCAAATGATGTGTTGCACTGAGTAAATGTGCTGCAAAAGACCTTTTTAAAGTGTTAAAGGGCAAAGATATCACTTTGAAGACTAAGGTATGCCTGACCTGAACCATGGTTTTTTCAATTGCCTCAAATGCATGTGAAAGCTGGAGAATAAATAAGGAAGACCAAAGAAAAATTGATGCCTTTGAATGATGGTTTTGGTCAAGAGTATTGAATATATATCATGACTGTTAGAAGAATGAACAAATCTGTCTTGGAAGAAGTAGAGCCAGAACGCTCTTTAAAAGCAAGGATGGTGATACTTCATCTCTCATACTTTGGTCATGTTATCAGAAGGATCCATGCCCTGGAGAAGGATATCATACTTGGTAAAGTGGAGGGTCAGTGAAAAAGAGGAAGATTGTCAATGGGATGGATAAACACAGTGGCTACAACAATGGGCTTGAGCATAGCAACTATTGTGAGGATGGTGCAGGGTCAGGCAGTGTTTCGTTGTGTTGTCCATAGGGGTGGCCATGAATTGGAACCAACACAATGACACCTAACAATAATAACAATAGTTCTTATAGTAGCCCATCTGATCTTCAGAACTCAAATTCTGGCATAAATATAGCTCTAAGGAAAAAAGTCAGATATGTTACAGTCAGAATCTTTGAGCTGAGGGATTATAAGTATTTTTGCTTTTATATTTTTTCATTTTGTACATTTTCTTTATGATTTCTATGATAATCAGGAGGAAAAGCAATACAAGATTTTTTTTTTTAATATATATATTCCTAGCTTCTTTCTTAAATCTTGGAGGACCAAGGGTGGGAGCAATTGTTCTTCTCCACAGATAGGGTAGAAAGACTCCATCTGTAGGTGACTTCATGTCAGTCACTTGGGGCCTCGACTGCCTCTGATGATGTTGAATGGCCAGATCCCAGGAAGTGTAGGGGCAGCCAGCGAGTGGGGTCAAGGGGAGCAGTCAGTGTTTTGGGGCACTAACTTCGGCGGCTCTAGACTGGAGTGTCCCTGCCTCCTTGTCCCTCTCTTTGTTGCCCTTTGCCAACAATGACAGGGAGAGGAGGAGGGTGACTGGGTCTGGCCTTGAGGCCTTTTCATCACAGAAAGCACTGCCAGCTCTCCCCTCTCAGAACCACTGCCATAAATGGATGAATTTTGCAGGACGGAGTCCCAGTAAGGATAATGACCAAAGCCTGTCCCCGCCCCCAAAGCAACAGACAGTCTCAACACCCTCACTCTGGAGTTGAGGAAGCTCAGAAGTAGAGAGGTGAAGTGACTGGTCCAAGCTCACACAGCTTGTAAGTGCCAGAGATGATCCCAGATGGTCTCAGGGCAAATCTTGCTGCATTGTAACCAATCTGAGGCCTCTTGAAGGGAAAAGGGCAGAAAAGAGAGGGAGGAAGAAGAAAGAAAGAAAGAAAGATGATGTTGGGAGAATGGATGGAAGGTAGATGACAGGAAGGAGGAGGATAAGTGGGATGGGGTGGTAATGAGTGAACCTGAGGCAGAAGGGGAGGTCAAAGAGCAGTTGAAGGCCTACTGAATCATGAAGTGACTTGCCATCCTCTCTTCTGCCTCAAAAAGGAGCCCTCGTGGTGCAATGGTTAAATGTTTGGCTACAAACCAAAAGCTTGGCAGTTCAAATTCACCAGCCACTCCATGGGAGCAAGATGGGGCAGTCTGCTTCTGTAAAGATTTGCAGCCTTGGAAGCCCTAAGGGACAGTTCTACTCTGCCCTATAGGGTTGCTATGATTCAGAATCCACTTGATGGTAAGGGGTTTGGTTTTTCAGTTTTGCCTTAGAATGGGTACCCCAGAAGTCACTGGGCTTAGCTTGCCTCAGATGTCTCTGACACTGGGGAGAAAACCTAGGCCAGGAAAGGTTCCTAGGAGACACCTCTTGATTCTGGAACATTCCTGTTCCCTCTCATCTAGCAGGACTGGCCAAGGACTGGACACTGAACTCCCTCTGAAAGGCACTTCCCCACCCTGCCATACTTATGGGGTGACTGATTCCACAGCCCCAGAAAAAGAATGTGGAAATGAAATATTGACAACCTAATCCATTTACATAATCAGCTCTCTTTTTTTCCTTCTCACAATTCAAACAACTTATTTATTTAGAGATCAAGCAACGACTGCTAATGACTTTTACACAAAGCACGCTAATAACGGGCCTGTGGAACAGAAGGGTAATCACAGCAGGAATTAGTTTTCTACTTAAACGTCCTTCCTTTGCAACATATCAATCTAATGTGTCCGATATTGCCATTAACAACCAGATGCATTGCTCAATTAAATTACAAAATGAGCTGCAAAGCCCTCGTTACATTTCGTGTTTAATTTACATCGGTTTCTGTCTATCTGGGGAGGCTTGCATTATTATGCCCGTTCAACTTTAATATGCTCGGCGATGATTTGGGGTAGGTTAATGCAGCTGTCACCTTCAAAATTAATGGAGGCAATTTTACAAAATATTAAACGCCAGGCGACCCGTTTAGGGGCAAACCCTATTGTACTCTCCTGTGGTTGATTAAAGCTTGCTAGAGGGCCTCTAGGCTTTTGGGGTTTCTTTTCAACCCCAGGATCATTGCAGGGCTCCAACATGAAGAAATATTTTGGATTATTTCTCCATTTGAGACATCTCGGCAGTGAAAGTCAAGAGAGTTGATGAGGTGAGGTCTACTGGTGTTGAGTCTAGCCAGCTGGAGCCTGGGGACTGCTCATCTCAAACAACAAATGTGCCATCTTCCTTCTCATGTGAAAGCAGAGTGAAATATAGGTGCCCTATCTAGTTTTGAGGAGCTTTGGTAGTGTAGTGCCTAAGGCACTTGACTGCTAACCAGAAGGCTGGTGGTTCAAACCCACCAGCCACTCCTCGGAAGGAAGATGGGGCAATCTACTTACGTAGTGATACTTCCTCGGAAACCCAAGGAGGGGTCGCTATGAGTTGGGGCCGACTCGACGGCACATAACAACATCTAGTTTCAAGGGAGCTCTGGTGGTGTAGGCCTAAGGCATTTGACTGCCAACCAGAAGGCTGGTGGTTCAAACCCACTAGCCACTCTTCGGAAGGAAGACTGGGCAATCTAATTCCGCAGAGATACTGCCTCGGAAACCCAAGGGGGAATCGCTATGAGTAGGGATTGACTCGACAGCAGTGAGTTTGGGCTTTTTGGTGTCTGGTTTCAAGTTCTCCCTGGCTCTTGTCTCTACTGGCTCATCCTAGGAGTTTCCTTCTTTGGTGGAGATGGTGGGAATGGGAAGGTGATCTCAATGCTTTAGAGCTGCCAGAGACTCAATCCCTATCAGAGGTTGGGATGGAGTCCCGCATGCCACCCCATATACTATGCCTGGGAAGCTCCTATAGATGAACATTGGCTTACAAAGGGATCAGATCTGACTTATAAAACCTTAGGCTGCAGATAAGCAAGCCCAAGGATAAAAATGGAAAATCTCTCCACTGGATAGCACTAAAGATTTGGGGCTGATTCCAATAAGAGCTGGAGGAGCTCTGATTACGTTGGTCAGCGCTAGAAGGACTCACTGGTTGACTGACCCTCAATCCCTGCTTCCTGGTGTTACCTGGGCAGGAGAGGCAGAGGAGTGGCAAAGAAATGTTTCTCTCATCCCACCTTGTCTGGGCAGAGGAACAAAATCTAGTGGCCAGAAATGAAACATGGATCCTATGGAACCATGATCCAGGGTGTGACAGCTTCCTTATCACGGTCCCCTCTCTGTGTGAAGAGACACATGTGGCTGAGGGTGAGACTTGGCTGGGGTCCTGAGGGCATATGTCTCCACAAGCTCGGAATTTATTCACCATCAGACCACTGGTTGTTGAGTCTCCTTCCTCCACAGCGCCTATCCTAACCTCATGGCATACATCTTCTGTATGTAAATGTATACATTGTTGTTGTTGTTGTTTGCCGTCGAGTCGGCCCCGACTCATAGCGACCCCTCCTTGGGTTTCCGAGGCAGTATCACTACGGAAGTAGGATTGCCCAACCTTCCTTCCGAGGAGTGGCTGGTGGGTTTGAACTGCCAGCCTTCTGGTGAGCAGTCAAGTGCCTTAGGCACTATGCTACCAGAGCTCCCTAATGTATACATACTGAATGTAAATGTATACACAGTCATTTCTCAGTTCTATGTTTTGTGGATTATCTACTCTGGAAGGTTGTTTTGACTCCAAAGCACTGGTGCCTCATTCAGTCTGCCCTCGGATAGCAGGCCTTCAGAGGATACAAACTGAAGACAGTATTCTTTGGGCAGAACTCATATTAGGCATAAAAATCCACTGTTGGAAGAAATCGTGCAAAATTTCTGAACTGATTTTGCATTCTCAGCTTCTTTGGATTATCTATGTCTACATGTCCCTGCATTAGCAGATAGTAGAGAATGGGTAGGAGGTGCTTACCTCCCTCCCCAAGGTGTTGTTGTTCTTGTTATGTGCCGAGTGGGACCGACTCATCGAGTGGGACATGACTCATAGTGACCCCTCCCTCGGGTTTCCAAGGCAGTGTCACTACGGAAGTAGATTGCCCAACCTTCCTTCCGAGGAGTGGCTGGTAGGTTTGAACCGGCAGCCTTCTGGTTAGCAATCAAGTGCCTTAGGCACTACACTACCACAGCTCCCCAAGGTAAGTCAATGCAAATTCAGGGCTTGGGTAACTGGGCTAGGGGAGGGGCTATGCTCTGCAGACTGAAGGCAAGGAAGGATGAGTTGATAAATCTTCCTGGCAGGAGACTTCACAATGCTTTCTGAGGAAGGAACCTGGAAGGTTGGCACAGAGAATCCTGAGGGGTGGCATATTAGCTATTACAGGCAAGGCTGTGGTGAACATTAGCAAGGCGAACAGCAAAGACAATAGTTAACACCCATTCTTACCTGTCTCCCATGTATCCAGCTGTGCAGTGGCACTGCCCTGTCACGTGGTCACACTGCCCTCCGTGGTGGCAAGGACAGTCTTGGCTGCAGTTCTGGCCAAACGTCCCTGGTGGGCAAGGCTGGGCACACACTGCTCCCTGAAACAGAGGAGGGAGACATGCATGGGTGGTGCTCCTGATGTGCCATCCTGAGGCCCCACCATCCTAGGAAGGACACAAGAGGCTACAGCCCAAGGGACCATCCATTCCCCCAGTGGAAGCACCAAAGGAAGCATAGATAACAGGACATCATGGCTCCAAAGCCCTCATTTTACAGATGGAGAGACTGAGGCCAATTTGTTCTCTAATTACTCAGTACACACTCAGTGAGTATACAAGGCACTGTGTACTAGGGATACAAAAAAATGAGTAAGACTTGATTCTTGTCTTCCCAGTCTACTAGGGGAGACAAACAAGCAAATAGGCAATTAAAGTACATGGTGCTAAGTGCTCTCACATTGGTATAAAGCACAAGGAAAAACAAAGAAGAGGATTCTGATGAAACATGGTGATTTGGAAGCATGTTATCTCAACTTCTTTCCCAAATCCAGCTAATTTAGGAATAAAGGGGGAGAGGGAGATATAAACTTACAAGGGAAATGAGAGGAGATAATAACAGATAAGAGCAGTTGCATCTTGGAAGATGGAAAAGCAGATAGAGAAGTAATGATTGACTTAGGTTTCTGCTTTCTCAGCAGTGCTAAGGGGCTGCAAAGGGAGTGTGAGAAGATATCAAGATGTGGGCTGATTAAGTCCTTTGTAACCTCAGACAGCTCAGGAATTGGAGACACCAGGCTCTGAAAGTCAAGGTGCAAGTGTAGTGAAAACAAGAAGACTCTTTAAAAGTTTATAAAAGAGGCACTTAAACCCCAGATCTCTTCTCTGCTACCCCCTAGCTTCAAACAGCCAAGTCAGGTAGAAGACCGATGGTTTACTGTTGGAGAAGCTGACCCACATAGACTTTGGATGATGCAGCGACACCAGGCACTGCTGAGAGTGGGGGTGCTGTGCTGAAAATGAGGGACATGTGGAACTCTGACTGCTCAATGATCAGAACCTCTGTTCTCTTCCCATGCTCAGCTCCCAGAATGCTGACTGCCAGACTATACTCCCTCTGGCAAGAGTCTTTTCTGGGGAAAGTTGATGAGCTCAAGAGAAAAGATCTACAGATACTGACATCTGAGGGTTTCATCAGCCAACAAGCCTGGCACAGTCCCTCAATTCCAGGCTTCAAGCAGTTTTCTGAGGCTCATCAGACATTTGAAATAATGCTCTGGCATGAAAGATGAAGAACAAAACAAACAAATAAAAAAGGAATACAGAGGAAACAGAAACTGTGCAGGAAACAAAGTTTAAAAAAGAAAAACCCTATTATAATTAAGATGAATATCCTTTGGTAGTTATAAGAAAGATATTATATCCAAGAAAGAATGAAGTGCTATAAAAGGGAATATGCAGAGAATAGTAAAGAATTTTTGAACATTTAAAATAAAGTAGAAGAAATTTTTAAAAAGGTAATAGAAGGGCTGAAAGATAAAGCTGAAGAAATCCCTCACAAAGTAGTACAAAAAAGACAGTGAAATTGAAACTAGTGGAGAAGCCATAAGAAAATCAAGAGTCTATCTGTAGGTCAGACATTAATGAATGGGGTTCCAGACAATGGGGAAGAGGAAACAGAGGAGAGTAAATTATCCTAATAATAATAATAATAATAATAATAATGTAAGAAAACATCCCAGAATGAAAGGGTAAAAAGTTTGGATTACCAAATTGAAAGGGCCTACAGAATGAATACCCAAGGAACTCTCGTGGTGGAGTGGTTAAAGCATTTGCTGCTAAGCAAAAGGTCAGTGATTTGAATCCACCAGCTGTTCCATGGGAGAAAGATGAGGCAGTCTGCTTCCATAAAGATTTACAGCCTTGGAAACCCTATGGGGCAGTTCTACTCTGTCCTAAAGGGTTGCTATGAGTCAGACTCAACTTGATGGCAATGGATTTGTGCTCAGCAATAAGTGAAAAAAGACCCACATCGAGGTGTATAATTGTAAATTTATATATCTGTATGAATGAAGAAATCATCCTCAAAGTTTTCAGAAAGAAGAAAATGGCTACATACAAAATAATGGGGGGCAGGGAGTGAGACATCTTAACTAGAAGTTAAAAGACAAACGGAGAAATACCTCATAGTTAGTTAACCTTCTATGAACACTTTCTCAGGAAGTACTAGAAAATTTGTTCCACCAAAATGAAGAAATTAATCAATGTTACTGAATATCATGTATAAAAATTGTTGAATGGGAGTGGGTTTTACTGTATTTTCACCAAAAAACAAAATAAAATATTTTTTAAAAGAAGACATGGTTTCCAGGAAATGGGGAATCCAACAGAGGAGAGAGGTGAAAGGAAGTCCCAGGATGACAACTGTGAAGCAGGCCTAGAGAGCAGAGTTAGGATGGGAACAGAAGAATGGGTTAGAAAGGGTTGTTCTCACTAAGAAAGAAAAAAAAAAAAATCCTAATTCAGAGATTTGTCTTGATGTGTCTGACCTTACTGAGAGGTTTTTAAAGTTCTGTCAGCATTTTAGGGATACATTGGTAATAATACATGTGAGGACATATTAATAAAAACAGAATGATTTAGCCAAAAATGGTAATATAATCTATTGGGAGGGTAGGGAAAGGTACTGTGCTTGTGTGCACGTGTTATGTGTGTGTGTGTGTGATAGAGCTAATTCCTATTCTTGTACAGTAGGAAGTCAATAGATGATGAATGTTTAAAATGGAAAAGTCAGGAAATGGTAGTAAGTCATGTTATGTAGAAATATGGAGGGGTACCTAAAAGATTTGAAAATGGCAGCCTTTTGGAAGTGGGATTTCTGAGGGAGGAAGAGTACTACTGTTTTATCTACTTCTATCTATCTATCTATCTCTCTATCTTCAATTTTAGCCTTATGGTATTGTATGAGTTTTAAAATGAAGTCCCTAAGTTATGAATAAGATCTGTTCCTGTGTCTTTAAGAACTGGTAGGTAATCAGCCTATATGACCATGAGACCAGAAAAACTAGATGGTACCCGGCTACCACTGTCAACCACTTGGAGGGGGATTGGTGAAGGAGATCCTGGATAGAGTAGGAGAAAAATGTGGAACAAAACTCAAAATCATACAAAAAGATCAGGTTTGCTGGTCTGATAGAGCCTGGTGAGACCCCTGAGACTATATCCCCTAGCCACCCTTCAGGTCTGGAACTGAACTCACTCCTGTGGCTTCCAGCCAAACAATAGACAGGCATATGGGGTGAACATCTACATCAGGCAGATACACTCCCTGGAGCGATTAATGGTGGGAGAACAGAATGGCAGTGTTTGCATAGGTAGATAACTGAGGTGGTGTGTGAGGGGTGCATGGGTGGGAAGGACACAGGGAAGAGGTAACCACTGGGAGGAAGTGGGAAGAGAGCTGTTACACTGTGGGGAACTGCAGTCAATGTCATTACAAAATGTATATGAACTGCTGTATGGAAAATGAATTTGCTCTGTGAACTTTCACCCAAATCACAATAGAAATAAAAAAAAAAAAGTAGGTAAGTGGAACCAGGTGTACATGGTTCTTATTTAGTCTTAATTTAGCACAAGAATAGGATGGAAGCCTTTTCAATGGTTTAAAAGCTGCATGTGTAGCAGTCATCTACAATCCTGAAGGTGATTATTATGAAGAATTTGTTGCCAGTAGGGGTTGGTTCAGTGGTTCAATGGTATCAAAGTGAGGGCAAATCAAATGCAAGTAGGAAGGTGTGGTGGTTATGTTTTTGTGTCAACTTGGCTGGGCCTGGTTGAGTGGCTGGGCAGCTGGTGGTAGTTATTCCCCATGATGAGACTGGCAATCAACTCCATAGTGGGATCTACCACAAGCAGCTGAGTAGCTGCCTTTGGGATGTGATCTGCTTCCTGTATATAAGGAGAAGCCTTGGGAATGAATGGTCGCTAGCTTATGGCACCTTGAACCCTGTATGTAACCGTGTCATTGCTCAGCATCCTGCTATGCTCTGCCGACCTTGGGACTTACAATGGACTTAAGTTAATGGCCTGCCATGTGGTTTGGTAACATTGGGACTGTGCCTTTTTACTTGTCAATCTTGGAGCTTCTCAGTCTCAGCAGCCAGCAGCTGTCTGAGTGAAGAAGAGCCTCTAGCTCCAGTGGGCTGGGAGCAGGAGGTAGAGCTGGACCGCAAGGTTGAGGGGCTTTCACCCAGCCCCTAGAGCCTGGCACTTTGAACTTGGACTTAAAGCCTCCAAATTTTAAGAATAAACTCTTGCTTGTTTAAGGCATCCCATTTGTGGTATATTCCTGTCAGAGCGGCACTAGATAACCAGAACAGAAGGAGTTGTTTGCAACCTGGGGACTGCCTATAAACATATAAATCTTGGGTTTTGATCGAACAGAAATCTGAACCTACTCTTGTGGCCCTTCCACTCACTCACCTACCAGAGATAGTTATTTCTCTTACGGAGATTGAGGGTTACTCCACAATTAATTCATCAATTAGTTCAAAACACAATTATTAAGTACCAATTACTGTCAACTTTGAGGAAACTAGTTTAGTCAGGAAAATATTCCAGACTAGAATCATCTTTTAAGATTACAAAACTTACTTGTAAGAATTCAGTGGGAGGCCTTGTAGCCCAAATTTCTCCTCTACCCACAAAAGTCAGGGGCTGAGAGAAGAGGCTTAAAGGGGTTCAGAAAAACACGGGTTGAGGGGATCATGGGGGTAGCCCAAGCACAGCAGGTGTATGCCTTTCTCACTGCTCTCATAAGCTCTAGGGATTCTTGAGGGAAAAGAGGAGTCTTTCTGGCCACTGTCTGAGTCGGTCATCTACAGTCCTGAGGACACTCTGACCCTGAAAGCACATTTGGAACCATCTTAAGGGCTGTGTGTTATACTTCCCATTCCCTCAAATCTGAGCAGTGTGGCCCTCACGCACATGCACTTACACACACACACACACACACACACACACGGGATGCAGTTGCCTTTCTCCTCCACACTCTGAGACTCCACCAGGAACCCCTTGCCCAGGAGGTCAGTGGGAAAGTCTGATGCGTATAATACTTCCCTCCAACATTTCCCGGAGAAAACCAAGCCTCTCTGAAACTTTCTAGACAGGTGGGCAAATACCTCTTTTAATTTCTGTTCAGGAGTCCCAAACTGTAGGAAATTCCCATTTCCCTCTTTGGTCTCTCCTTGAGCTTGAGCTCATGGGGCCTAAAATAATTTGATACCTTGGAAGTCCAACTGCCTGGTGTGATGGACTCAAAGTCAAGAGTTGGGCCAAATCCCAGCTCTGCCTCCTCCCAGATGTCTGACTAAGGACAAGTCATATGATTGTTCTGAGCCTCAGTTTCATCATCTATAAAAGGGGAATAGTAATCCCCTGTCTCCCAGGTGGTTGTGAGGATGAAATGAGAATAGAGATGTGAAGGAACCTAGTAGGTGCTTAAAAATGAGATTAAACCAAAAAAACCAACCCACTGCCATCGAGTTGGATCTGACTCATAACGACCCCTCCCTGGGTTTCCGAGGTGGTATCACTAGGGAAGTAGATTGCCCAACCTTCCTTCTGAGGAGTGGCTGGTGGGTTTGCACCATCAGCCTTCTGGTTAGCAGTCAAATGCCTTAGGTACTATGCCACCAGAGCTCCCAAAGAGAGATTACTTAATATTAATTAAATCCAAGTTGACACCTGATAAGGCAGCATGTGGAGGGAGCCCAGTATAATCTAGAACTGAAAAGAGCAGAGGAAAAGCACACACCTAATGCTGGATGGAAGAACAGCCTTGTGAGGAGGTACAGGGGGAGAGAGCAGACAGGAAAGTGTCAGCTTAAGAGAGAGTTGTGCCCTGATGGGTTCTCTCTGGCCCTATGGTCAACTGAGTCTATGTCTCCAGTTGTAACGGGATCTTGGGCTGTGTGACATCTAGGAGGCTGGAGATGAGGGTAAGGTGATAGTTTTGCTTATTTCATAATTAGCTAAACCAAATGATTTTCTCAAAATCTGGAAACCAGTCACACTGTAAGAGGACCATGGCTAATTAGAACACAAAAAGGGAGATGGCCAAATAGTGAGAGGCCTTAAAGTCAAGGCAATTTGCATGGAGAAGAGACAATTCAGCCTCTCCAAACATCTGAAGGCATTTATAATTATCATGTGTCCCAGGATAACATGGACACCCACAATAAGCATTGAACAGCGTTGATGTGGGTGCTGTGGAGGGTATCCTGGCCACAGACCGAGATGCAGGGCTCCATCAGTCACCGAGTCATTGCATCCAATCATCTATAATTCTACAGGCTTAGCTACAAACACCATTGTTTGGTCCTCCAAGATAACTGGCCCTATTTCCCATTTCCTCAGCCCCTTCTCCCTTAAGTCCTGTTATTCCCTTTGGTGTGTGTATGCGTTAGAGAAGTATGCAGACACATACTATATCCAACTTCCACTATTTGACTGGGAACTCCTTAGGGGGTCATCACATCTCCTCCTACCTACTTCCGCATCTGTCTGCAGTGTCCACACTCATCAAACACCTCACATCCGGTTTCTCTCTTTTGAAAGCTCTCAGTGCTTAAAAAAGAGGGAAAATAAGTCCCCCAGCTCTTTGCAAAGCCCCCTCCTGGAAGGGCTCACCCTAACTGGGCAAAAGGAATTGTCTTAGAGGCATATTCAGGGCCATATTCAGGTTAGGAATCCCTAAGAAGGGGCCTAGAGGGCTGGAGTTCCTGGAGCCTCTTCTCCAGCTCCTCACCATCTGCCAGTCCTTCTGGGAGCTGCATGGTGTGTCGTGTATCAATCATATGATTTAGATCTCTGAGTGGGAAAATGCATGGTTAAAACCACATGGGGCCAACGTGAAAGTGACGCAATGGAGGATGATGATGAAGGGGATGACCTTTCTCCCCAGTACCCTTTCCTTGGCCCCAGCCTGTCCCTAGGAGGAGCCTTAGGCTTGAACTGCAGATTCATTATACAGTGACTCTGCATGCACGAGGGGTATTAATAATTCATACAAATCTGCAAGTTAAATGCTGTGTCAAAAATAGAAATGCAATTGTCTACAATAAAATTAAAAACATAAAGTCCTCAAATCCAAAAGCTTCTATCGAATCGACAGTTTCCTGTCATCCTCTCACTGTGCTGGGGGAGAAAAAATACATCCATCCATGTGCTGCTTTCTCCCTTCCCCTTCTTGACCCACCAGCCTTCCTCGGTCTCTCCGGAGAGGCCTTCCCATTCACAGGGCCTGCCTCCAGCCTTGCTCTGCCCGCACTACAGCCTGATCCCACCTCTCTGCTTTGCTGCTGGGCCTCAAAGGCCCAGATTGGAAGTGGATTTCCAGAAGCTGGCAAGCCATGGGAGGGCTTTTCCAGAGAGCAATTCAGGATGGGAGAAATGGGCAGGTGTAGGAGAAGTGCAGCAGTATCTGTGTCCTCTTCAGAAGAGACAGAAAGACATCAAAGATGGGATTCAAGACTCAGGAGATGTGGATTCTAGTTTCGTCTGAGTCCTAAGCAGCAATGTGGCCTGGGGGAGGTCACTTATCATGCCTGGGCTTCAGCTTCCTTATCTGAGAAAGGAATGTACTGACATCCTACCCATCACCACTGCCAGAGTTGATTCCAGCTCCTAGTGCCGCTATAGGGCAGAGTAGAACTGACCCATAGGGTCCCCAAGGCTGTAAATCTTTACAGAAGCAGATGTTTCATCTTTCTCCCATGGAGTGGCTGGTGGGTTTGAATACCTGAAGCTGCTTTAGGCTAGCGGTTAAGTGCCTTAACCACTGCACTACATTTGACTGCTAACCAGAAGGCTGGCAGTTCAAACCCACCAGCCACTCCTCGGAAGGAAGGTTGAGCAGTCACTTCCGTAGAGATACCAGCTCAGAAACCTAAGGAGAGGTTGCTATGAGTTGAATCTGTCTCGACGGCAGTGAGTTTGGCTTTTTTTTTTTTTAATCAGAGCTCCTTACTGACAAGTGGTACCTATATAAGACTGTAGACTCTGTTTGTTTTTATGTGAAATCTTACTAGAATCTCAATATGAAAAATAAAATAGGTAGCATGGGGTTAGAGAGCCAGAGCCCTAATTATTAAGCTCCCTGTCCCCACTTCCAGGGTCAAGGAACCCTATCATTAACCTAAACCCTAACCCTAACTCTTATTTAGAAATGGAGATTCCTGGGCCCCAAATGGTCTTGGGCTGAGGAGCTTGGGAATCTGTATCGAACCTATCCTGAGTGATGCAATTGTGCAGCCAGGCTTGGAGACTGCTGGACCGGATGATCTCCAAGGCCCTTTCCTACTCCAAAAAAAGAATCTGACAGTCTGTGGCTGAGTTGATGAACCCTTCAGGCACTGCTCCTGCCTGCCTCCCATGACCTCAGCATCCAAAGCCTCCCAGAATATCCTAGTCCTGTTCAACAGCCTGTCCCGTCTGGCTTTGTGCAGCCTCAGTTCCCTGGGGAGGCAGCTGGTGGTATCGCTGAGCTTTCCCTGAAACAGAATATATCACTGGAGAGTCAGAGGCAGGGATGAAGCCCAGGAAAGTCAGCCTCAGCCTACTCGCAGTTTCTGAGGAGCTTGGGTCTGCAGGGGCACTGACAGGCGGAGCATGTTGGTGAAAATGAGGCTTGTGGATCATCTTGGCATCCAGGGATATGAAACAGCAACTGTAGAGCACTTCAGAGTTTGCAGAGCACTTCTAGCATGGACTGTTTCTGAGCATCCTGCCAACAATGGGAGTTTTGGAGGGCAGGGATTACTGTTTCTATACCCATTTTGCAGATGGGGAAGCAGGTGACTGGAGTAGCTGAGGGCTTTTTGCAGGGTTGGCAGCGATGTGAGAACAGAATTTAGGCCTATGAGGTTATAAATCCCATTCCCCTTAATCATAATGATTCTTCCCAGACACAATACCTAGGCTGACTGAGGCTGCACCCAGAGTACTTGTTAAAGTATGGATTTGCTCATGTACTTCCTGCCCCAGATCCACAGAAGCAGAATGTGTGTGTGTGTGTTTGTGTGCATGTGTGCTGGGAGTAGAAGCTGGGAATCTGAAGTTCCAGATGGTCCATACTCTGCTGTCTCCCTTCTTCTCCAGCCCTTACACCATAGCCTTTCTGCCACATCAGTCCAGAGACCATGGCAGTGCATGTGTATACATGTGCCTAAAGCTAAAGCCAATTTTATGGGAATCCTTCAACTCCTTTCTACATGGGGACCACTGGCTCAGAGAGGTTAAGTAACTTGCCTCAGTGCACAGCACTTAAATAGCAGATCTGGGATTTAAAGCTGTGCCCATTGTCTAAGATGCCCTATTCCCATGAAGTGGGAAAAGAGTATTCAAGGCAGGAGAAGAATTTAGCCCTCCAAGATGCCTGTGAGTTAGGGACATGCACACTTTTCACAGTGCTCCATCCAGATCCTCCAGGGCCACCTACCGTCCAGCCTGGGTGGCAGGCACATTCACCAGTGATGTGGTGGCAAGTGCCCCCATTCTGGCAGGGGCAGCGCAGCTCACAGTGAGCCCCATGACTCCCAGGTGGGCACAGCTCCTCGCAGCTGCATGGAAAAAGCAAAGATGTTAGGCACTGCAGCATTCAGGTGAGGTGTCGGGGCCCCAAGGCTGCCAGTCCTAATGCTCCAGGGCTCCCCAGGAATTGGTGAGTTCACCGTCACTAACATTGCCTGTGTTAAGGCACAGGCTCAGTTTAATGCTTCTTCCTGACAGGAGGGGAAGTGCAGTGTGCCTGAGCCATTAATTGTGGGAATACTTAAGAGTGTTTTTCTGGGGAAGGAAGACTGAAGAAGGCCTCCTGAAAAGGATGTTTTATTGGGCCTTGAAAACTAAGTGTTTTCATCAGGAGAATGGAAGGAAGGGCATGCCAGGCAGAGGAAACAGCATGAGCAAAGGCACTGAGGGGTGGACATAGATCCTGCCTGCAAGATTGCCTAGATTCAGAGAAGGGGAGAATCTAGGATGTGTCCCATCTGGGCTCTGGAAAGCTCCCAGCTACCTTGCCCAGCTCATGTGCAGGGACTGAGCCCTGCTGAGAGGTAGGAGAGGGCTAGCATGGGGTCTTGGTTTTGGACCTTAACCCACTGGCCCTAATCTCCAGCTCACTAGGTCCTGGGAGCTGGCCAGGCATTAGGAAAGCAACACCTTCAATGAAGGATGTCTCTACAGCCGAAGTACTTGGTCCCCCTCAGGACCTAGGGCTGTTGGGGGAGGCCACAGAGCCTTCCACAGGCTTGTGAGAAGTTCAGTCTTGCCGCTGAGGGGGTCTCGGCTAAGCAGTCTTGGAGGTCCCTATGAAATAGAATCTCCAGGGCACTGGAGTGAAAGGTTGTTTGGGCTCTGATGGGAGAAGGTGGAGAGGAACAGGCAAAGCACATCCAAATCAGCTTGTGGTATCTGCCCAGAACCCTTCCCTTCTCCCTACTCCAAGTTTCTTAGAAGAATCAGGCCCCATGAAGAGGTACATTTGGGTTAAGATCAGAGGAGATTTGCAAGCTAAAATCTTGGGCCTGGTGCTCAGGGCTGGGCCTCTTCCCCTTGACAAGGGAGGGCTTTCTGGGGGAGTTTGATTGGTGCTCTTGGTCTTGGGAGCCCCCAACCAAACCCACTGCCATCTAGTCCATTCTGCGAACCTCACTGGGTTTCCAAGACTGTAAATCTTTATGGAAGAAGATCGCCTCATCTTCCCCTGGCAGAGCAGGTTATGGGTTTGAACCGCTGACCTTCTGGTTAGCAGCCAAATGTCTTACCCATTGTACCACCAGAGATCCTGTGGGAGTGCCCAGCCATGTGAAATCTTAGGTTGGACCTGTTGCCATGGGGCCTGGATGGCTGAGATCTGAGGCCCTCCTGGACTTGAGGTCAGAACGTAGGAGCATTTGCAACTAGGTTTGTCTGGACCCCTTCCGCTCCTACCACCTTACCTACCCGCCAGGAGCCCCAGGTCTGGCTGCTCAGCAGCGGTGAGAACAGACCAGTTGCTTCCTCTTAACCCCACCCGCCCCGCCCTGCCCCGCCATCCCAGTCCAGCTCGCTCGCGCTTTACTCACTAGACGCCGGTGTAGCCGGGCGCACAGAGACACTCGCCGGTACGGGGGTCACAGCTGGCACCGTGGTGGCACTGGCATGACAGCTGGCATCCCTTGCCGTGGGTTCCGGGTGCACAGAGCTCCTCGCAGCGCCAACCTCGGAAGCCAGCGGCGCACACACAGGCGCCGGTGATGGGGTTGCACAGGGCACCATTCTGACACTGGCACCGGTTGCTGCAATGGGGGCCCCAGTGGTCGCTGTCGCAGCCTGCAAGAGAGGGGCGGTCAAGTCTGAGGGGCCTCGGCTGGCTCTCCTTGGGGCAGAGATTCAGAACCAGTGCCCAAGAGGTGTCCCATCTCTGCAACCTGGACAGGAGACAGCAAAGGGTGTCTGGGGGAAAGCCTTGGGGCCTAATTACTTCCATCTCCTCTTCCACCAAGCCATCCAAAAATCATAGGCTAAGAACTGGAGGGAGCTTTCTTCAATAACATTTCATCCAACCAAATAGCTGCCCTGAAGCCTACTCTCCCATATTGAAATTCTGGAGCCTCAGGCCATCAAACACCTTTTGTCTTTGTTAAAAATAAAATCTTTTCTTGGTTGGCTGCTTTTCTTTGTTCAACTCAGCCAGGTTCCTTCTGGCCAGATAGGCCACCCTTCTTCTCTGGTTGAACTCTGTCCCCTTCTTGGTGCCTCCCCAGCCTAGGACAGCTCCCACTTTCTCTATCTTCCCTGCCCCCTTCCCCACACTCACTGGTTTTCTCACTCTTAATCTCACTCTGCGAACATTTTTTCTAATTCCCTGCCCCTCTGCTGGCTCCAGCTCCCTGTCACCCTTTCCATCTATCTCTCCTGCTTCTTCTCCCTTTCTGTAATGTCTCCCACCTCAGGTTGCTTCATCTTCAGTTCAGTTTCATTACTTTCCAAGTAACCAGCTTCAGAAGGAACAGGAGAAAGAAATGTTTCTCTAGGAGGTGATACTTTTCAAGATCTTTATATATAATTAAATGTTTCAAAGAGTGATTATCTGAGCTTGCTTTGCAGAAGTTCACAGTCTACAGCTGTGGAAAAGGGCTCATTTGGAGCTCCAGGAGGGTCACCCAACCTGTTTCCACTTCCCATTCTGACCCTCACCTGATGCATGCCCAACACACAAGTAACAGGATGTCCTCAAACTATAAGCTCATTCATGTGCATTCTAGGGTAGGGGTAAGGTGTAAAGTTCAAGCATAGACAGGCACAAAAAATGTTCTTAAAGAAGTTCAATGGAAGGGAAGATCGCTCCTAGTTAAGATCTAAGAATTTCTAGAAGAGAAAACATCTAAATTGGGCTTTCTGCCTGATAGAGTGACCAGCCATCCCAGTTTCTCCAAGACTGTTCTGGTTTTAGCACCGAAAGACCCACATTCCAGGAAATTCCTCAGGCCTGGGTAAACCAAGGTGGCTAGTCACTCTACTGCTTGAAAACATGGAGATGACCAGTTGACTGTGCTGCAGTGATTTCAGGATTTAAACACTCAGAGAGGAAAGAGTATGGGGGAATGTAGTTGGGGAAGATTTGGTTGGGGTAGGCTCTGTATGAACAAAGATACGGTGGCACTATGTATTGGGTCAGTACGAGAGCACAAGGTTCTAATACAGTCAATAAGTATGTGAGATCTTTGGGGCCTAAAGGATTGGTGGAGGGATCATTCCATCAGCGCCATCAGCTCCCCTATGTGCCCCTCCCACATGTGGACTAGGGACCCATGGTCAACTGAGGCTGCCCATTATCCTTTAGTAGACAGAACCACCCTAGATGTGGAATCCCAACCACCGTATCTTGGTTCACTCCTTTTTCATCTGAACTCCAAATATTCACACATACAACTCAAGCTGCCCAGTTATAAATGAGCCTCACCCTGCACTGGGCAAAACTCAAGCCCAGGTATAGTTACAACCTCTACCCACACTGAAAAAGGCTCACAGGACAGAGGTTGACTAAGTATCCAACAGTTCAGCATCTCCCACACCACACTCTCCCTGGGGGCATACAATAAATGAGTGGAATGACCAGCAAAATTACCCACATGTTATTTCTCTCTTTTTGTTGCCAAGCACATGTAGTTAAACTCACATAAGGTTAAAGTACATATGATGCAACTCCATTGTAATAATAATGACAGTCACATTTTAAATGTTTACTATGTACCAGGCACCATCCTAGAAGTTTTATATACATTATTAAGATTTAATCCCCATAACAATCCTGTGAGTTAGGTATTATCCCCCCATTTTACAGATAGGAACATAAAGGGTCAGACAGGTTAAGTGATTGCCCAATGTCATAGCCAAGGGCAAGACCAGGTTTTCTGATTCCAGCTTGTTCCACTACACGTACTGTGACACTTTGCACGGGAATAGTTACAAGGAGAGAAATTGAAAGCCACCACTGGGGCAGAGTGGCAGCTGCAAAGCACAATGGCAGGGACACTATGGAGACCAGACACCTACCTCTCTGCTTATCACTGTCAACAACCCTAGGATCCAGAACACGGGATTCCCTTCATTAGTTAGGGCTACAGTCACTGACCTGAGACCTTGGCTCCACACTAAACTCTTGGAGTCCAAATCTAGTTTGTCCCTGGTGCATTCCAGGGCATAAAGTTATACTTTACTCCATTCTCTCCCCACACAGTCAAAAGCCTATAGGAAGCAAAACTATGCCTCTGATCAGGAAGCAGGTATACTGTCATAAAGTCTTGGACTTCATGACAAGTAACTTGGATGCTTTCATTCTCCCACGTTTTATTCAACATGTCCCAGGGTGGTGCAAATGATTGACATGTCTGGCAGCTAACCAAAAGGTTGGGGATTAGTGTCTACCCATAGGAGCCTTGGAAGAAAGGCCTGGCACTCTACTTGTGAAAAGTAAGCCAGTGTTAGGTAGAAAATAGTAATAGTAATAATAAGCCACTGGAAATCCTATGGAGCCTAGCTCTACTCTGACACACATGGAGTTGCCTTGAGTCGAACCTGGCCCGAAAGTATCCTGCCCTCTTGGAGTGCACAGTCTAGTGGGGACAAAGATGCTGGAGTAGATTTCAAGGTACACAGTGAAAGTGCTATAATAGGGTTTGTTCAAGGTGTTAGAAGCACATGAGTGAGTCTGAACCCAGACTGGAGGAGTTGGAGAAAATGTCCTCAGAGAAGACACTAGAGGGAGAGGTAGGGGTGGAGAATGGTTGTAGGCAGAGGAAATTATAGATGTACAAGCTTGGAGGTGGGGCAAACGTGACATATAAGAGAAAATGAAAAAAAAAAAAAAATGTGTGACTGGAGTGTAGACTGTATGGCAAAGATAGTCAGATTCCTGGGCAGGGGTCTCAAGACCAAGGGCCTTGTGAACAAAGTTAAGGGGTGTATACTTCATACAAGGACAGCGGGAACCTCTGAAAGTACTTTAAGCAGAGGACTGAGGTAAGCAGGTGTGGCTGTAGAAAGATTACTTTGGTGAGAATAAACTTGAGGGAGTGCAGTCAGAGTGGGGTAGGCAGCCAGGCTGGGATTGGGGGAGAGTGCAGTTATAATAGGCAAGATTGTGGGGGCCTTGGTTAAGGCAGTAGCATTGAGGATGGAGAGAAGTAGACAGATTCCAGCTATATTTATGAGGTAGAACCTGCAAGGACTTGGTAGAGTACTGGGGGGAGAAAAAGGATAGAGTGAAGAATGTCACCCCAGCTCTGGCTTAGGCTGGTGGGTGGGGGTACTGGTGTCACACTCTTTAGGAGATTCACAAGGGGGAAGAGCAGAGTTTGGGAAGAATGTGTTTAGTTTTGGACATTGATTTTGAAGTGTCTAAGAGACATCTAAGGAGCTCTGGTGGTGTAGTGCCTAAGGCATTTGACTGCTAACCAGAAGGCTGGTGGTTCAAACCCACCAGCCACTTCTCAGAAGGAAGGTCCATTCCTTGGAAGAAAGGTTGGACAATCTACTTCTGTAGTGATACTACCTCAGAAACCCAAGGAGGGGTTTCTGTGACTTGGATTCGACTCGATGGCAGTTGGTTGGTTTGGTAAGGGACACCTGAGGAGCCCTGCTGGCATGGTAGTTAAGAGCTTGGCTGCTTAGAGCTCCGCTGCTAACTTAAAGTTTGGCAGTTTGAACCTACCAATGGCTCCGTGGGGAGAAAGATGTGGCAATCTGCTTCTGTAAAGATTACAGCCTAGGAAACTCTATGGGGCAGTTCTATTCATAGGGTTGCTATGAGTCAGTATTGACTCACAGCAATGGGTATTTTTGACTTATGGAACATCTAGGAAGACATTCAAAGGCCATTTATTCTTAATGTAAATACAGTTCTATTAAAACCTGACAATCTGGTTTCTCAGACCACAGATACGTGCGTGAGTGTTATGTATCCACATATGTATATACATGTATCTGCATGTGCGTGTTTTTGGAGGGCTACTAAAATTATATAGCAAAAGCTCTATGCCAGAGTAAGAAACCACAGAGATAAACAGAAAAAAATGTAGACTGAAAAAGCAAAGCAACTTGGAGCCATTAACACAGGGGCAAATGGCCCCTCAAACCCAAATTGACAGGAAGAGGTTACATTCAATTTAGAATGTTCTGGTTAAGGAACCAGGGAAGTGTGTAATCCATTCCCCCAGAGTTATTAAATAGAAAAAATAAAAAAGTTAGGGTTCACAGGGATAAGCTTCAGTTATCTAGAAAATCCACTTAAAAACACCTCATTCCCCAGCAGTGACAGAGAAATGAGGCAAAGCTGCAGTGAGTCAATTATCTCCTCTGCTGAAGGTGAATAAAAACTATCATCATTATAATTATAACAGGACTTTGCATTCTTTCACAGATAATCTCAAACTCTCTTTAATTTGGCCTTGGAATGTCACACATCACCCCTCCCCACTTTGTGTTTTCCCCTGTCACAGACTCTCCTTCCTAATTATATTTGGCTTTGGATGATTTTTCAAGTGGGTGCATCTTCTCTGGGCAGCTAGTGAGGGTTGAAAGGGCACCCAGAAGTGTGTGCCTGGCTGAGTCTGGTCTTTTAAGATGGGCAACTCACTGCTCCGCTCCCTGCCACCTCTAACCCAAAATGGATCCCTCCGCTGACCTCTTCATGCTTTGGAGTCCAGGCCTAGTATGCTTCTGGCTCCCCCATTGGCCTACCTCAGCCCTGCGGTGCCATCCTGTGGTTGGCCTTCACTACCGACATGCTTTTAAACTTGTGAGTCTAGTTAAATAACCAGCTACTGTGT